CCACACACACACACCTTCCACAATCATCGATATTCCTATTCTTGTTTTTCACCTAGGGATAAGAAAGGTAGCTGTTAGCCTCGTCTTAAGGGAAACGTGATATACTCGGGACGCCGTCGGTCGAGGCGTCTCGGTCGGGAGCGTGTACAGAGACAATAATTTCCGCCGTTGAAAAAAAAGATTCCCCTCCCCGTCACCCTTTTGTCTCTTTGTCGGAAGCCTTCCCGGAGTAGGAAGCTGTCCGCGAATGTCTGGAAGAGCGTACATGTTTTGTCTACGGATGTTCTATCGTGCTTCGTGGTTAATTAAATGGTCAAATGGATATGTAAACGTTTGTATATACGGATAAATAAATCTTGTTGTTTAATATGCACGTACCGGCCGTCGTCATTTACGTAATTCACTCCCACGATAGCTCCGATCATCGGCGGCGATCAGATCAGCAATCAGATCGGCGCGATTAGCTTCCGCTACGTCACTATGGGGGTAAGTATTACAAATAAATGAACTCCCTTGCCGGACGAGTTTGACATTTCATTTGCTGTGATTCCTCGTGAACTTTATTTCAATTAATGAGTCCCCTCGGTGCAGCTAAAAATTGTCCATCGTTGCCGAGCTGAGTATGATTCGTCGGACATTTGCGCGTGCTCGCGTGCCCGCTATGCTGACAGTTTGACAGCTCGGTGAATTGGCTCGCCGACCGATGGTTAAATTGGCACTTACTAACAACGTCATGCCGCCGCAATATTCGCACGCGATATGAATGGCCAAGTCGTATAGAGGATTAACTCAACTCAATCATAGATAAATTGGTCGAGTATGGACGCCAAAAATACCATGCATATCACTGGTCATCGTGCTGCAGCAATTTCTCCAGATATTTATGACGCTTGCGTTACGAACAAAATGGTGCGAAAATTCCGAGCGGTTGAGGCACCCCGATATCCCGGCTCCCATCCTCGACTGTACGTATAGATCGTTTGTCTGATCGCTGAGCGACGCAGTTGCGCCGCAACCCGCCCTTAAGCCGCGCGCGACATTCCTTGTTTGCGCTATTTCAGCGACCCGCCGTCGACCGGGGTTTGTTCTTCGACAGACTTCCGGTAAGCCGCTTATCGCCCGCCGGTCGCGCGATAAGCTAGAAATCGACGCAGGCGTCGCACCGTTCTGTGTGTACCGACGATGACGGGGGCCTGTCAGGTTCGCCGGCGACGATAAATCACATCGTTAGGACAACGCTGCCCTTCGCGCCTCGATCAACTCTCATTTCACGTCGAGCGGAAATAAACTGTCAGCATTCCGGCGAGCCTCGGAAGTAGGCAAGTATATCGTCCCCGATGAATCCCGGATTCGATTCCTCCCCTCCCTCCCCTCCCCTCCCCTCTTTGCTCTTCATTCTTTATCTACCGGTCATCCCGGTCGCCGAGGCGCGTCGTGCAAAATAAGCTGTCGTTATACGACACTCTTTCGTTTGCCGTCACCGAGTTCCCTTATCCCTCGTCGTCATCCCGCTATGTCGCCCCCCACGTCCTTTGTACACGAAGTGACAGAGACGGATCCCTCGGCTACATGGTCCGGGAGCGTAGTTTCAGGTAAACAAACCGCGATATATCCCAAAGTGAGTTCCGCCGTCAGCTAGATGCGCACCGTCGACAAGCACGTCCGGAATAATTTGACGACTCTTGTACAGATAGTGCTTGCGCCTCGTCGACCCCTCGAGAGAATAATCGTTGCATCGTCACGACGCGGCGCGAGAGGTGTCGGTTGGGAAGAATGTGAGGTTCGCGAAGCGACAACGAACGATCCCCGAGTGCCACTTTTGCCGAGGACTCAGCTAATAATTAATCGTCAGCTGAATGCAAATTTTTGGGACACGTTAATTTTGATTTGGAGAGCTTTTTAGCGTACATTTCGTTATGCAACTTTTATTATTCCGTAATATTTTTGAAAAGCATTGTTCATTCCTTATTCAATAAAAATCAAATGGAGAATAAAATTATATCTATTTATATTTCATTTTGTTAAAATAAGAAATTTATTTCTCAAATGACCTTTTCTCAAACGCTAACTCAGATTCAAGCTCAAGTGCTTAAGAGATTTATTCCCGCGTTTTATCAAATTGCACAGGCGTTTACATGTGTACTTGCGCTCCTTCCACAGCGAAAAGTACGAATGAGAATTTCTATTTAGACACAGTTTCATGAAATTTCGAGCTGTCGAGACCCTCTTGTTATCTGGAGAACAGCGGTGATTTCAAGCGTCAAAGCGAGGAAATTAATTATTCCCTCTGACAATGATAGACGTTATTCTTGCATAAGACTTAATTTCGTTTTCGTGAATGCGCGACTTAAATGAAGATTGAGCGCGATTGCATTAAGTATTTCGTTAATCCTATTCCCGAATAGAGTGTTGAACGGCGCCGTTAATTTGCACTCGGCTATCTGGTGAATTAGGTTTCTCCGCCTGTTTCGACTATTCGACAAATTAACATTTTAGATCGTACTGTCAGAAATATTACTTGGTCCCTGTTGTCAACTGTTTGGATGTTTGTTCTGGAATCCTGACTCGCTCGTAGTCTGTCTTTAACCGCGACACGCTATCACGCTTCATCAAGAATTAAAAACTTCGTAGACCGCAGATGTTGCAATTTATCGTTGAAAGTCAGCGCAATTTAAAATAGCTCTCTGCAATATAACATTTTTGTAAAATAAATTTGCCTAATGAAGTAAAAATGATAGGCGAGAACATTGTATTACTATTTGTAAGGCGTTTGTTTTAGAAGTGTAAATGCATAAAATTCCTCGTTGAAAAGACTGTATTTATTCACAGTGGTGAATTGAACGACTGCAGGCCGGGAATAACAGTGGCGAAAGCCCCTGAGGTATCGTACGTACCGGCAATACTCCGGAACGCAGAATATTGGGACACTGTCTGCAATAGGATACCCCGTGATATTTTTTTGCCAAGACCTCTGGTTGGCTGTATTATCACAAATATCGCTCCTCATTACTTTCCAGCCGCAGTTTCTATATTTTCTCCTTCAATTATTTCCGCTTTTTATCCAAATTCTTTTTTTTAAATACGCTTTGCAATCTAGCATGCTAATCATCATCCTAATATAATAACACTCATGGTATTACAACTATATTTACGAGAAATTTCAGTTTAATCTCGTATTAACAGAACAGAATATAATTTTCCAACATGCATTAATTTAAACGTCTATTTTCCGCGTTTGCATCTGCCTCGTTACATATTGATTGCATCGTTTGCGTCGCGTTACATACGTGTTACGCGCACATCGTGTGCACGTAATGCATGCGCGCGCGTTCGTGTGTGTTGACATTTCGACTATACTGATCGCGTAACAGAAACGGCGGGATCGGCGGAACGCGGCGTTGGTCGTAGAACAAAAGTAACCATGACGAAGGCCCTTAGGGTATCGTATTCGCGACGTGGCTTCGAAAGCCGGGAATATCGGGGATATTGTTCGCGGTACGATACCGTGAAATTTTACGGCGTCGTATTCGCCGGGGGAGAAGCCCGCCGATCCCAGTAATTTTCCCGGGAAAATTTTCGACACGCCAGTTACATGCCGTGAACCGGATACGACGGAAGCGGCTAATTACGTTCGTCGAATCGACCTTTTTTCACCGCGTCCGAAGCGATGCGAGAAACTGATTTGTTTTTCTCCCGGCCTGCAAATTGCAATCCGGAAGCTAATGCGGACGCGCGGCATTTTCCGAAGCCCGAAACTATCGGCTGCGTCGAAATTACGCGGGGCGAAAAGGAGGAAACTTCCTCGATGGCGGCGATGAGAGCGGCAGCGGTCGTTTCTTGTCCATTTTTACGAGAAAATGGTGTAAGCTTGTAAAGCCCGCGTACGGAATATAGATTTTGTGACTCGCCGTAAAGCGTAATCGCGCTTATCGTAAAAGCGCAATATAACGTGACGCGTAATGTAGCAAGCGAATTTCAGGGAGAACATCGGCGGATTTGATGCGAATTAGTGGAGGGTAGACTGAAATAGGGGGTATATAAAAACAAATGTTCTAAAATAGCATTTTCATCTTTCCTTCAAATTTATATAAATTACATAGCACGATTTCTCTTTTAGAGAAAAGCTGGAAATATTTTTCTAAATATAAAACTTTACGTGTTCAAAATTAAATGCTGATTTTTCGAGACTTGAAGCTAATAATTGCCGACAACAGCATAATCAAACGAGAAACTATCGAGATGATTTCATTTATTCTATACAATGCGTCGAAAATTCTCTATTATTATACATCGAGGCTCTCGTCTTTATTAACAGTAATGGTATAAGTAGCTGTCGGCATGATGCTGAAAGAGGTTTAATATTTCACTTTTATCGCATATCCATCCTTACGCCTGTCAGGATATGAACGGCGAAACGCCAACCTAATAACGCAGTCGTTAGACAAAGTTGAAATATACGTTCGATGAAAGATCGAATGTACGGGAACCGGATATTTCATTTCGAAACTCGACGCCGCGATACGTCAACGCGGAATCACCACCCCTCTCCTCACCGCGCGTAGTATTGCCGAACTTCCGTTACAAATTTTACTTTCTCGCTTCGCTCGGGTAAAGTAATTGGCTCTCCTCTCCCGATAAACCCTGCCGACGTTACCGAGTTAAGTGTCTCGCGGATCCGCTTTCTTCCTTTTACGAGGGAAAAAGTCTTGGAGGCATTGGAGTTCATAAATTTCATCTCGCGCGCCGTCGAATTTCCCGATGAAAAAGATTTACGGAGGGTAAAAATACTGGGAGAAAGAGAGAGAGAGAGAACAAGATTGGGAGAGAAAAAGAGTGAGGCTTGTTTCCTCATAACCCGTTTCCTAATACCCCTTTAATTTCCCGTATTCCACGG